ACTATGGGGTTAGGGCTTTTCCCCATAGTCCTCCTTAGGGTAACGGGAGGACACAAACTAGCGTCCTCCCGTCACCCTAATGTTGGGAACGGATCCTGACATTACTGTTGAGATCCACCCAGCTGCGGGATTGACAGCTGGCTCTGCCTATCTAGCGGCAGAGCCAGCTGTACCCGCCCCCTCCCCCGTCCGTTCCGCCTGTCAGCGCTGGAGGATCGGACAGGGGGGTGGGGGGGGGAATCCCTGCAGGGAGCCGTAAGTGCCAGTCTTGGCTCTCTGCAGGGATAGATCAAGAAGTGAGCAAGCTACGCTAAGTGTTCGCTCACTTCCTCACTTCCAAATGAAGCCTTCCTGCTCAAATACTTACCTTCCTCCTCAATCCAGTGAATGAATGCAGAGAAAAGGATTTTACGGCGAGTACAAAAATCATATCTTCTCTTTTGTTCTTAAAAGGAGACATGAAGATCGTAGCTCTGTAAACACTGGGTTATATCGCCACCTGCAGGAGTAGGACACCAGGCAAAAAACAGAGGTTCCAGATCTACAATCTCCGCTGTGTCCTTCAATGAATGGACCAGAAAAACGTTTTGGCCAGAGTTTTATACATCTATTGATGTATAAAGTAGGAATGCACCGATACCGATATCAGTATCGATATCGGTGCCGATACCGAGTATTTGGGCGAGTACTCGTACTCGCCCAAATGCTCCGATGCCTAGCCCGATACCTCCTGTATCAGGAAGCCGGGCAGCGCATCATTATACGCTGCCCGGTTTCCTGATTGGCCGGGAAGCGGCTCCATGCTCTCTCGTCACTTGCGATGAGAGAGCATGGAGCCGACTTCACGGCCAATCAGGAAGCCGGGCAGCGTGTGAATGACGGGTCTCCCGGCGTTCTGATTGGCTGGGAAGCCGGCTTCATGCTCTCTCGTCATCTCATGACGAGGGAGCATGGAGCCGGCCTTTACATGGCGCTCAACTTCCATAATTGGCCAGCAAAACGGCTCCAGCTGGGTACCGGAGGAAGGCCGCTCCTGGCTGGAAAGGCCCAGGGGGTGACAGGCTGGACATGCCGAGGTGAGAGGGGACAGAGATCCGCACTGATCATATGGGACGGCTTTCTTGTTAATCGGGAAGCCACCTGGCTTCCTGAATGGGACTTCCGGTACTCGGTAATTGGTATCGGCGAGCACCGAAAAACAATTACCGGTACTCGGTACCAAAATACCGGTATCGGTGCATCCCTAGTATAAAACTCTATTATACATCTATCAACAATGCTAAACCCTGATAAAGGGACCCTGCGAGGTTCCAAAATCGCTTGTTTCCATTCTGACAAATTGTTCAATAAAATGAGCATTTGGTGATCCTAAAGGGATATTCGGTGTGCTGGTGACATTCTTCATAACCATCCCATCCCAGCCTCAGACAAGTCACCGCGTCATCGGCGCTAAGAGAACACAAGACGTTTTCTCAGAGGAATAAAACTCGAGAAAAAAAAACACGTGTCCTGCGGGATGACAAGTTTCTGAATGGTAAAGGACACAGATTTATGGGCTGTTTACTCCGAAGTTGTGAGCTGGAATATCGGGAAATGCGGTTTTTATTATAATTGGCTTTTTTTTTTTTTCTAATTGCTGGAATTATTAATTCATAAATAATTCAGGATCGTTGTTACATCCCGAGTAGGAGAACAGGGCACATTTTTTGTCATTTCCTCATTTTCTGAACAAGGCGAGCTTTCATCGCTCCCCATAAAATGTGTTTACACTGAAGTACAGGAAGGGGATTTATATTTATTACAATCATCGGAATTGTTACGTTGTGTGAGTTTATTAGTAAAGTGGATGGCTGACGTCTGAGGCTGACATCAGATTCTGCCGCTAGCGATCCTGACGCTGGTGATTTGCCAGTCGGATCACTAAAGAGACTGCCTGTGTGTCCCTATGGAGTCGCTCCCTCAGAAGCTGTCGCTACCATCGCTAGTGATGGAGATTTATAGGCCTGCAGGTTGGTGACAGAGTCTCCGTCCAAAGCCCATGTGACAGGGTGACACTGCAGGAGAGCCAATGGGATATGGAAAAAGAGTGTTTTCACACTCTAACAGGAAATGTCTGGACAAGGACCGTCACGGCAGGATCAGCAGGGATTATTTTAATGAAAGCTGCAGATATAATAGTACAGGAAATTACTTTCAAAGATACAGTAACATGTTAAAGCTATGATATGAGATTATAGTGATTAGGTTTACCTATACTTTAAATATTTTACATTCAAATTCAATTTTTTAGGTTTAGTTTAAGTAGGGAAGAGTGAGAACTCCTGTCAGGCTTTTCTTGTTGTCTGCACCCAGAGGCGTAACTAGAACCTTCAGAGCCCCGGTGCAAGAAACCATGAACCCCCCCCATTCCCAGTCCAGACTTACCTTTCCACCCACTTGCGTTTCCAGTGACAATTGGAAGATTTGGGATTTCTCATCTCTTTTTTTCTTGGTGACAATGATCATCAGAACAAACAGGGTTGATCTCCCTGGCAGGGACACAGAGTATTATAAACTAGGTATGCACCGATATATTGGCCGCCGAAACCAAAAATGGCACTTTTGTCAAAATGCAATTTTTCTGCCGATATAGCGACGCATCCCTGCTTTCTCTCCTCCCCGCTGGGCGCTGCTCTGTGTCCTAGCGGGGAGGAGAGAAACTGTCACAGGCGTCCGAGCGCTGCGGGAGGAGAGCGCTGTGAGCGGCTGGCTGTCTCTCCTCCCAACACTGCTCAGCCTCCTATCACAGATCAAAGGAGAGCGGTGTGGGCAGAGACAGCCAGCGCTGTCACAGGAGGCCGGCCGGCGGTGTGGGGGAGGAGTCAGCTGTCCGATCCAGCTCTCCTCCCGCTCCGCTCGCTCAGCCTCCTGTGACAGCGTGTCAGGATGGAGAGCGGGTACAAGGAGTCAGTGATCAGTGATCGCTGAGTGTTTGTAAATAATTGAGGGCATGGTATGGTTACTATATCCTCAATTATGAATGAATGGGAAGTGATCTACATCCCCTCCTGTTCATTCATAGTTGTAGTTATAGTAACCATACTCTGTTCTCATGTTATGAGTGAACAGGAACACTCAGTATAGAGGATTCCTGTTCATTGATAACTGGGGCTGCAGAAAAAGAGATTGAAGACTCTGTGTTCTATTTTAAAAGATAAAATATCAGGGGTCTGTTTAGACCCCTATTATTTCCCCGAAGCCCCTAATAGTAAAGTAAAAAATACAAATATTAAATAAAAATAAATAAATAAAAATAAAATATAAAAAATTTCAAAGTTTATAAAAAACTAAATATTAAACAATTTTGAAAAAAGTTAGGAAAAAAACATTTTCGCTTTCGGCCCCAACTTTTTTTTTAATTTCAGTTTCAAAATTTTAATTTTGGTGCACCTCTAAAAACCTCACCAAGGGTCTAAAACTTCCCTACCATATCCAAAAACTAGCTTTGCTTGAAGTTCTACTCTTATGCTGATCTCTAGGCAGATATAACCCGTGCAGTGTGGGTGGGGGTAGCCCCACTGCAAGGGTTAACTATTGAAGACTCTGGAGATCTGCTTTAAAGTGACATTAAAGGATATTTTTTCCCCTCCCCCCCCCC